ATACTGAGATTCACCTGCACTAACTTATCTCCTGGAGATAAAACTCTTAAGGAAAATACCAAGTGTCATAAAGCTGACTTGTAAAAGTATTGTTGAAAGTGATAGCATTATAGATGCATTTAAAATCAATGTCTTCTTTTAGAAACGTACTGAATTTTCAGCCTGGCCCCTTAAAAGTAGCTCTTATAGCTGAGGATATTTATTCTGTTCCATTTCTTGAATGGGATGCAGCTGTTGAATTCTTCAGATCTGAGTAAAGTCTTTAAAGGCTTTATTTATATTGTGTTTTTTTTCTGCTCTCCTCTGGTTCTGAACAAATAGCCACAACTTCAGTTGATGGAAATTATCCTACTGCAGCATCCCCCATCTCTGATAGCTGATCCCTGGGTATTCAGGAAACAAAGAGTACATCTAAAGCAATCAACTAAAATTCATTTGCAGCCCGTTAGGAGCTCCTTGCAGTGATATTGAAGTGTAGAAAGCTCTATAATCTTTGTGTTTTAAAATGCAGGCTTATGGCTTGAGTTTCCCTTGAATAAAACTTATTATTAGTAATGAGGTGTGTAAAATATTCTCCTTTGGTTTACTAGTGGGCATAATTCAGATAAGAACGTTTTAGCTTTTGTAAACCTCAAGATGAATTTTGCCTGTATCATAACGGAAATCTGACAGTAGGCTGAAATGCTGATATTTTGATGATAGTGTAGTGTGATAAAAGTGCCAAAGCAATATGCTGTGCTGCTCTGTGTATGTAGGATGAGGAGCTCTTTGTATTGCAATAATGTGGGACCCAGCAGCAAATCTAATTTTTCATGCAGTTGTTGATTTTACAAGGATATTGCAGTGAAAGCTCTTTAACTTCCTGTGTTTGCATGCCTTTTTTAGCAGGAGCCTCATCCTGTCTCTTCAATCCAAACTGATAGTTCCTTCTTTTTTTTTTTAAAGCACTTTGCTCACTCTATAATGAAAAGTAAAACCTGAAAGAGATTTGTGTGGATCCTTCAACTGACTAATGTGTATTTAAATTACAGGATTAATAAGGTTGATAAGAGGAAGTGAACAGCTGCTGTGGTCACTCAACATGGGCAGATTAAAATAATTGGGTTGGAGACGTCTGTTAGATTGCCATTAAAAAATTTAAATAGGAACAGAGAGCGCTTGGCAGTCCTCACCAAAAGCTTATGAGGAGAGTGGGTAAGGAGAGATATTGGAAATGTTTCGTGTTGTTCATTCATCTGAAAATAGGCCTTCAGTCTGCCTCTGAGCTTGTTTGTCTTTTATTTGGAGACTGTAGATGGAGACCTGCCTTTTCAGAGCTTGAGGACCGGGCCCTTCGCTATAAGCTTCATGATGCGCTGATTTCAGAAGCAGACTTTGGGGCAATGTCCGTGTTGGTGTAGTTTGGTGCATGGCAGCTGCTGGCAGCCTCCCTGGAGACCTTTCCTGTGGTGAGGCCCTTGCCTTGCCCTCTTCTCACCGAGCGCTCTTTCAAGGCTTAGTGTGTCATTTTCCAAAACGTGGTTTGAATCCATAGTCCTGTGTATGTGCTGCTTTTGCCAATGGGAGATGTAAACATGCCTAAAGAAGGGAGTTTCCCTTGTGATTCAACTACGAGCAGCCTGCAACTGCCCCTCAGCCCAACCGCTGCTGCTCACTGCATGTGGGTTGTTAGACCTCTATCGAGGGAAAAGACGTTATACAGCTTATATAAAAGCAGAGTTGTGCAGTGAGTTTTTCATACTCAGAGTATGTTTGACCAGCTTCAGAAGTCTGAAACAGAGATAAAAGGGAGTGCGTTCCTCATGTGTTGCTCGGAGATGTGTGACCAAACCCCACTTCAGTTCCTTTGAGGTCAGGAGTGCTCCTCCTCCCCCTCTCCATCAGTTTACCAGGGTCCCTGCAGCTCCTCACAATGCTTGCTTTTTCTAGAAACAGAGACGCTGCTTCAAGTTCTCTCTTAATTTATCTCACGATGTGGGTTTTTATTAGATTCTAATATGACTTGTCAGAGCACTCGTGTTATCTCTTTTGGAGACATCAGTTCCTGTAATGGCACTTAAAAGCATGAGATAAAAAAAAAAACAACAAATGAGTTAATGTGTTAATTGATTTGTCTCGCTTTTTGCATTTTAGAGCCTGTGGGATACATGCAGACAGTCTTTGGAGCATATGGGTTGTTTTGTGGCTGCCGGACCAGACGGTTCGGGTATAATTATAAGTGCCTTGTTTGCATATGCGCCTTGTTACTGCTGTGTTTTCACAGATCTTAGGAACACATCAAGCATAAAGCTAAGTCAGGTTGTTGTACTTCTGGTACTTACTTTTCTTTTTGAATGAACTGTGTCACCAGAGCTTAGTGCATCTCACCTGCTTGGCTGTGAATGCCCAGTTTACTTCTGGGGCTCAAAGGAATCCAAGAAAGACTGGCATAGCATTTTTTGATTGCTTTGAAAATACAAAGAAAGAGAGCATTTTTGTTTAAAATAGCACTGCCGAGTCTCCTGGATGCTATACTGCATGTTATTGATATCCCAGGTATTATGTGATGAGCTGTAAGGGACATTCATCTCTGGCAGTACAGTGCTGTCATGTGAGTTGAGGAAAGGGGTCTGTCATGAGAACCCTGCTCAGGGCGGGAAAGGTAGCAGAGCATGCAAAGCACTGGAATTGCAGCTCCCTTGAGAAACACCAGCGGGTTTTTGAGTGAAAACATCTTTCTTAGCTGCAAACTTCTTTGAACTTCTTCACCAAGCCATCAGCTTTTCCACAGAAAACATATTCTTCGTGACTGTTTTCTTAAGACAGAAGCCTTATTTTCCACTTAAAAAAAAAAATTAAAAAAAATTGGTCAATTATATTTCTGAAGCTATTTTTGAAGGTCCCATGAGATGTTAGTGGCCAGCATTGGTCACTGTGTAACAAGAGATCAGCCAAGGAATTCTCGGCTGCCTGCTAATTTAGTTCTCCTAAGCTTACCCCAGAGGGGTGTAGGTTCCTTGGAATTTTGCATAATTAAGGAGCACATTAAAAGTTACTTACAGCCTATCCGTGAATGTTGAATTTACAATATCAGAATCAGTTGATTGATTTCTCAATGGTAGTTTACCACGGGTCAGTTTTAAGTTTTAAGACAAATATTTTTGAGAAGAAATTAATTTGATGAAGAAGTTCATCCAAAGTAAACAAAATAACTTTATTTTCTTCAATTTTTGATGACCAGTTATATATATCCTCTCCATATACTGTGAACATTCTGTATTTATAACACTATATTTCATCCTGAGTAGCAATGTTTTTTTAATTTTTTTTAATAGAAAGCTGTATATTATTGAAAGGAGTATTTTGAAATGAAAAAAAAAAAATCGCCCAGGTACTCTGGTAGCTAATACAAATGTATCGATGATGTAAAAAATGGTGTAATCTGTGTGCCAAAAAGGAAACAACATGAAAGAAAGAACATTATTAGTGACTGAATAATCTGAAGAAGCCTGATTTACAGCACAATTCAACATATGTCATTGGACTCCTCTGTTTCTGAGCAGGAAGCCCTTGCTGTCCATGCATTGTTGCAATTAATATTAACCAATAGGTATTTTAACGGAATTAAAGGAACATAACCTTGTCTGGAGTGTCATAATTACAAGGGGGGCGACCTAACTGGATTCTTCACTCCCACTTTATTTTGTCTTTCTGCAGACCATCAGAAAATGTTGGGGGTTTTTAGATTGCTTATTTGCAGAGCATGAAAGTGGCAGTTCCTGCCTTCTTTGCTTGAGTGAGTTTCCGAATGAGTATATCTCCATTTCTAGTTATGCAAATAACAATTTTTCTTTTTGCTAGGGGAAATTCAAAGAATAATAACACAGGACATAAGGCTGAAGAAATTTGGTTTTGAAGAAAGATGTCAAATGGCACAAATGTACAGCATAATTTTGAAATGACCAGCAGGAGGCTGATCTCTGGCTACAGCATTTTGAAGAGGAGAGATAAATTTAGCTTCAGTGTCCTTGGTTTGTGTTAAGATGTAAGCACAACCATGACAGTGCTTGAGAAGATTATTCAGTAGGACAGCTTTTCTTTGGAAGTCTTATATGGTGCCTTGCTCCATGGTGACTCCCTGGCTGTGCTTAGCACCACTCTGCCACAGGTAGAATAGAAAGACTGGAAATGAAGCTGAGGAGCTACGCGGTTTGAGGATGTCTGAACTAAGAGGCACTGAAAGTGCTGAGGTGTGTGCTTTGACTTCTGCGGGCTTTGGGTAAGGCTTTGATATTAGAGATGTGTGATGCGCGCATGTGGTGGTTGCAGGCAGTACTGGTGGCTGCCAGATATGTCTAGCACATACTTCTAGGTGCTGGCTCCCTCACTTGGGCAGATCATGGCTGCTCAGCCCACCCAGATGTAAACAAAGCATGTGGGTGGATTGATGGGGAAACATCACATGCTCTTCCTCCCCATCACCTGTGGCTTCTCTTCAGTGAGCAGTCCAATGGAGTCCCAGGCTGTATGGACTGAGAAACAGTCCTGTCACTCTGCATGCTTATTTGGTGAAAAGCCAGGTAGTGCGGAACTGCAGTTGAAGTCATTGGTGATTCAGTGTTTGTTTTTCATAAATTGCCTACGCTTCCAGCCCACGCACTGTAGATGACAGCGTTGTATATGCGGACTGTGAACGTGACAGACATTATTTATGAAGCAGTGCCTTCATCAAGGTTTTTTTTTTTTCCTAGCAAATTGTGTAAAATAGCCTCTGCATCGCTCTTGTCAACGTGGTGTTATAAATATAGCCGGTTTGCTCGGCTGAGCAGAAAGTTTTTAAAGGTGTTTAAAAAAGCTGCAAACTGGCTGTATGAGAAGGTCAGAAAGAAAACACCAAGTGCAGTTCGCTGTGCTCCAAGGAATAGCAGCAGCTGCTTCCAGCATTCTTTCAGCTATTCCTAATAGGGAAAGCTTGCGCAGTTATAATCAGTTTTGAGTTTGTACAGCCATGTGGAAGAGGGATTTTTGAGGGGAGACGTGCCCCTTCCTAACCACTCCTCATACTTGCTCAAAATGTTTTCTCTGAAATAAGAAGAGGGGAAGTCAGTTGCAGCTTTCCTGCCTCTGATGCACAGGCGCTGTGTGACACAGCTCTCAGCTGTGCTGGACTCCCAGCTTTCTTCCACACAGAGAAAACATAGATCCAGTTTTCCCCTTAAGATTCATGGCTGTATGAGCCTCTGGTGAACAAAGGTATTCGAGGAGTCATAGCTGCTTCAGCTGGGTTCTTTCTTGGACACTCAGTGCACAGTTTCGGGACAACTACATTGTTTTTACCTTAAGCTTATTTTGCAAAAAGTCATAATTGGAGTCAACCTCGTAATTCAGATCTGGTTTGATCAAGTACTGAAGGACGCTGAAGACAGAAGAGAACTTAGTTAATGGGTAAGAAAACTGAATAATTTTAAATACGATGTGGTAAAGGTAAGTGGAATAGAGAACATCTGCTGAATGTGATATTCATAGCAATTTCTGTTTATTTATTTATTCATTTATTTTGTGCTTTAGTTTAGTTTGAAGAAAATAGGACAGCTTTGCCTCTGAGGAAAAGACTGGCATTGCCTGCCATTTGCCAGGCTCTGGAGCTACATCAGCACATGGAGAACCCTCAGACACTGTTGGAGACTAATTTCATTACCTTGCCTGTTTTCATAGTTAGACTGAGAGGAATGAAACCATGGAAGGAGGAGTGACATTACTCTTCAAAACAAACTGCATAATTAGGCAGATTTGTATTTGACTGTTTTCATCAAGTGCTGCCTTGCTTTGAAGTCCATGATGCTTGCTATGTTTATTGTGCTCCATATTCTGCCTCTGCGAAGGCTGTAACCCAGGCAGCTGCAAGAAAACATACTGGGGAGAAAGGCTTCTCAAAAACTAATGGGTTGACAGTTACAGCTGCTGTTCAGTTACAGCTAGGTTCAGTTTGACAAATAACAGTTTCTGTAAGCATCGGGTTTTATGGACTTGACTGTGGTGTTGCTGGATTTCTAAGTTCTGGTAGCTGTGCTTAACTGAGTGGAGAATAAGAGCTGTTCATCTTCTGGCTCAGTCCGTGAGGAGCTTGTAACTCTAGCAATTGTTTCTGTTTTTCATAACAGTGGGAACTTTATGGGCTATTTTTCCCTCTCTGTGTCCAAAATAAATGTGCTGCCTAAAAACAAAGACAGAAATTGCAGAGTCTTTGGCAGGCACACGTTATGAACTTGGGGTACCTCAGGCCAGAGGGGCAGTTTACAAAATGCACCTTTCTGAGAATTGATGTTGCACCACAGTGGCTTTATCTGTGTGGATCCATTTTACATTTCTTGCTTTGCAAGTCCGTATTTTTAACAAGCCTCCACCTCATTAAAGCATCTATGTGCTTTTCAGTTGTTTTTCCAGGTATATACACTGATCCATCAATCTGATTTGTAGCTATATCTTCACTCAGAGTAGTTTGTATAGTTCCAGTTCAACATTTCAGACTCCTGTATGATATTTAATTTATTAGCACATCAAGCAGATGCATACGTGCAGCTGTGGTGCTTTTTTTGTAAGAAATGATGCAGCAGTGCTTCTTGAAAAGCTGAGGTAGAGACCTTGGCTGTGCATTGCAGGAAGAGCACGTGCACTGTTTCAATACACAGAAAACAGAGGAAAAGTAATGACACTAATTAAAATCAATGACAGTGCTAGCGAACACAAATCCAACTCTTTGTACTCACAATACTTTCCTAATTATTAGACTTTCTGAATTTTCTGTACTTCCTGAGTTTTTCCTTAGAGAATTGTCTGTGCAGAGTCTTTAAGAAGGCAATAGGAACACCAGAACAGCTGTCGGTCAGGGTGGGAATTTGATATCTCATCTATTAAAAACAACCAAACAACCAAACGCAATGCCAATTAAACAGGTATAGGTTGCCAGAGCATCTCAGCTGACTTGCTGGTGCAGATCTCTGCCAGGGTGCCCAGTGTGGGTATGTAGGACAGGGTAGGGTTTGCATGTGTAAACACTGTGATAGTGTAGAGTGATTATAAAGCAAATGAGCAAAGCCACCCCATCTTACTTTCTACATGTTTGAAATGTGCCTATCCTTGTCTATGAAGACATACACATACTGCGTCACTAGCATCTGAAGTGGTGTTAATAACACAAACTCAAAACTCATGACTCAAAGAAAACTTATTTAAGAGGAGGGATCATACAACACTTCTATTTCAGCATGGATTGGAAGCCGGCGCAGTAGCTAGTTGTGCCATAATAACCTAAATAACTTGATCCATTTTTGAACTGGAAGTGGGTAGTTCGCTTGCACACGGAGACAGACTTCAGTGAAATAACATTTTCTCTGTGAGCAGCAATGCGTGTTGAGGGCAGGTCCTGCTGGGTATCCCCATGACAACTTTGAGAGCCATCTGTTCACTCGCTGTGCTTAGCAAATCACTCTAGAGGGACATAGTAGCCTCTATCATGGGTACTTATGGAAATGGGAGTGGATGCTGAGCACTCAGCAGCTTCCTGATGAGGGATGGGGTAAGGGTGAAGCCAGGGTCCACTTGTACTCTAATCCAGTTGGTAAAGCCTTTGTTCCTGATACCTCCATGTTGTAGCTTAATAACCGAGTGCTCTCACTCTTGTGCTTCTCAAGGCAAATATTTGGAGATGGCTTGCATTTTGTTCCCATCGGCTTATGTCAACCTCCACACCTCTCCTTTCAGTGGTAGTATGGGTTTCCAACCAGAGCTGGTATGTAGGTAATTTGGGTAGCTGTTCTGCGTGCAACAAATTTCATTTCCTTTAGACCAAGAAATAATACTTTCTGTAAGTAATGTCAGAGTTTATAGAAAATAGTAATTTGGACCACTTGAAACAATGCAAATGGGGTTTTGTATTTAATTGAAGGCTTTGCTGTTGTTTGTCAAATCCCAGTACTTGGAGTCTTGAAATTAATTATTTTTCTTCTTAATGAGATTCTGGCTATAAGCTTGAGTCAGATAATGTATCTTAAAAGCTCAAAATCCAGAAGGAAAACTAAAATATTTGTATATTTATAAATCTTGTATACGATACTTGGTATGGTTTTTTGAATCATTTGGAAATGATAACTTGTGCTTTCTCATGCATTTCTTTAAATTTTCAGCTAGGGTTATTTTTTTTTTCTTTTTTACTGAGTATAATAGAAATAGATGCCACTTCTAGTCTGTTAAAAGCATTTACCGCAGTCAAATTAATCCTTGTTACTGAATCCAGAAATTGCTAACTTATGTGCTGTACTAGCTGCAGTCCCAGCAAGAATCATCAAGGTTGGAAAACACCTCTAAGATCATCCAGTCCAGCCACCTACGAACCACTTTTATCTTCCACTAAACCATGTCCCTCACTACAGCATCTAAACGGTCCTTGAACACCTCCAGGGACCCCCTCCACCCCCTTCCTGGGCAGCCCATTCCAGTGCCTGAACACTCCCTCAGTGAAGAAATATTTCCTAACATCCAAACTCAATCTCCCCTGGCACAACTTGAAACCATTTCCTCTAGTCCTATCACTAATCACATGGGAGAAGAGGCCTATCTCCACCTCACCACATCCTCCCTTCAGGTAGTTGTACTTTCCTGTCAGAAACTACAGAAGGTCCTGTGTTCCTTGTTGCTTCACAGGAGAGTTGTTGTACTGCTTCAGGATGAATAAAGCTACAAATAGGACTTACGCTTACATTTGTTTAGTCTAGGTTGTTTAAATGTATTTCCCATATAGTTTAGGCCTTATGTTTTCATATGCTTAACATCAGCTTCATTAGGATTAGGAGAAGGAGCAGTATTTCATATGTTTAGCAAGAGCTTAGCAGAACGCCAGCCAAGCATTGGAATGGGTTCCCCAAAGCAGTGGTGGAGTCCTATCTCTAGAAGTATTCAAGAAATGTGAATGTGACACTAAATGTTTTTGCCGTGGGATTTGGTAGGTCTGGCTGATGGTTGACTTGAGCTTGGAGACCTTTTCCAATCTAAATGATTCCTTGTATGTTTCTGTGACTATGTATGAATGGAAGTTCTGCAGTGCACTGGTGTATGCAGCATGTCCTCTGGCTCCCAAGTCTTCAGAATTGAGCCAAGATTGTCCTCCAGACTGATCCCATCTACTTATTGATTTGAGACAGGAGTAAACATGGACACAGCACATGACTTCTTGTTTTGCTTTGTATGCGAGTGAATACTGAGCAGGAACATGTTTGCGTTGGTAGCGGAGCCTGGAACAAGGTCTATTTAAGGCAACTTTGCCACTAAAAATAATATTCAAGCTATTGTATCTGATTTGGGGTCAGCTGCCATTAGCTTGCACAGTTCACGTTATTTCTGGTCAAGCAGGAAACTGTTTTTACACTTGAGAAATAAATAGCAGCAACCTGTCAAAAAAACAGTATGGGAACCGATGAAAGGAATGAATTTTATTATCTTAATCAGCACAGGCTATCCCAAATCTCTTGTGGTGAGGCTGCTGAAAACACAATGTATAGACAATTACTTTGGTCTCAAGCTGTATAGTTGCTACAGCTTGTTACTGCAGCTTGTTAATGTACACATGCAACAACTTGCAACCAACAGCAAAGCACAGGGTGGCTAACTTCTCTTTTATTGACAAAAACACACAGAAATATGTTCACACAAATTCCAGTAGAACTGCACCTACATTTAGAGTTTTTTAAGATGCTTTTGTCTCCGTTTTGGCAACTCCACAAAAGTACTCAGACTCTTCTGGCTGTAATTGTAATGCTTCTGAATCGTAGAATCATAGAATGGCCTGGGTTGAAAAGAACCACAATGATCATCTAATTTCAACCCCTCTACTATATGCAGGGTCACCAACCACTAGACCAGCCTGGCCTTGAATGCCTCAAGATACTGATGTCTGGTGAAGCAAGGCATCCTGAAAATCTGATCATGTTGATTTTTTTGATGCATTTTATTGCAGATTGGTGTTCTGCATAGATAAAAAGTTTGGTACAGAGGATGTGTTAGGAATGAATATTTTGCTAGGCAATCCCTGTTTTACTTCAGTCACATATATTAATGTCAGAAGAGAAATGAAATGCATCTGCATTATACAAGTTTTTTTTTAAGAGAACGCTATTAGCTATTCTAAACATGAAACAGTTCCTGAGGCATTTGGAAAACTTGGAGAGGTTGATCCTAGAGGAACAGGAAATATTTTGCCCTTTATTTTAACAATTTTAATACTGCTGTGGAAACACACTTATTCTTCCGCTCCCTGTTTATCCTTAGACTAAAGTTAGATGGGCTTTTTTTTTTTTTTACTCCCTGATAAATGGAAATTACTGTTGTGGAATTCTGAACCATGTTTCCTTACCTGGGCACAGGCCTGTGCTGTCTCATTACATTAAATATTT